CTGCCACGACTACGCCGAGGCCTGCCCAGGTGAGTGGGGCCGCCCGCGGGGCCGCTGTCCCCGCTGCCTCCCGCTCTCACCGGCACCTGCCGGCCCCCGGCGCTCCGGCCCAGTTTAAAAGCGCCGCTGTGCCCTGCTTCACTTGTAGGGGAAGCAAGAAGGGCAGGAGGGGATGCAGGTGGCCGAAGGAGCAGGGCTGCAGGTGCTTCGCTCCCCATACAGGTTGCGGGGCACAGAGATACCGAGGTCCCCTGGGGGCAGAGAGCTAGCAGGGCATATCGGGTTGCTGTGTGTTTTGAACAGAACAGAAACACGAAATGGGACATTTCCTGACTGAGTCAGAATCCTCCGATCCCTTTGCCTCTTGTGGAGTGAGTTACTATAGATGGGATCAGATCTGATGCTCACGTTAATCTGCACAGCCCTGCAAACAGCATCGACAGCTTGCAACTCCAGCAATTGCTCTGGTGAGAGCCTCGACTGCAGGACATGAGTGATGGGTCCTGGAACAGGACCACAGCAACGCTCTTTCCATAAACATCTGCTAAAATGCAGATGAGAGTTAAGGAGAGAAGTTAGTTAGTGAGCTGTGACAACTTCATATTCCCATCCCACAGACAGCATCCTCAAGGAGTCTTCTCTGCTCACATAATGCCTTTTTTTTAAATAAAAACCCGCGTAGCTGTACCTTAGCAGAGTTTTGCTCTAAATAGATGGGCAGACATTCCCGTGATTTAATTGCTTTTTTCTTTTCAAGAGAGAGCTGAAAAATAGGTGGCAAAATTAGTTCATTCCAAAGTGATTTAAGCAAGCTATGTCTGTGAATGAGGACAGGCTGGTGGGTCTGGAGACCAACAACTCCTGAGAGCAGCAAGTGTAAAAGTTCTGCCATGGAATCCCATAAATCGGGCTCCCCTCTGCCCTGAGCAGTGCCCCCTGCGACTGCAGGGAGGGTGCAGCTTGGCTGTCCCAGTGTTAGGACTGCCCGGGGAACAGTGTGGTGGTTGTAGCCAGACACCCCAGTGCCTTCAGTTCCTGAACAGTTGGGCTGTTGGCTGCTCCTTTGGTACCACTGTGTCTGAATATGAATCGTCTCGGCAGTCACCTGGGATGGACAGGAACCCCTCGTGTCTGTTCTTCGTATTATAGAAGAGCAATAAGAAAAATGCGTTTGCAGGCCCTTGTCACGCACCGTGAGGGGACAGCGGGGCTGTCACCGCTTTCTCTCTGTGCTGGCACCTTGTAGCGCTGCTGCTGTCACAGCTGCCGCCCCCTCTGCCAGCCGCGCTCTCCCTGCCCAGTGCCATCCTGTGGCTCACCGGAGGAATAGCAGCATCCTGCTTATGGAAGTCTGGCGAGAAAGCTGGTTTTGTGCAGGATGAGGTGTTATTTCTTGTGATTCGTTTGTGCTGGATGTGAGGGACTCAGTTGTACTTTGACTTGCATTGCCTTTGTAGCCTGGCCTTTTTTCAGTAGTTTCCTTTCTTGCATCACTAAAGAGCTACTTTATCAAATTGACTTGTAAAGCAAAATATTAAGGCAAAGGCATTAGCATCTGATGCCAAACAAAACTCAAAAGAGCAGAGGATTCCAAATAAATCAGATGCACAAAAGAGTTACAGTATTGGGTAGCCTACAATGTGATGTATAGGCTTTTTTGTGGTGTATTGCTGCATATATAAAATATCTCAGTTACTTTGATAGTTGATTTAATGCCTAATCAACCTAATCATAGGTTTAAAAGCCTGTTTGTGGTAGCTTTAGACAAAGAAGAAAAGCAGGTAATTTCCTTGAAGCAGGCCACAGGGAACTGCCTAGCACAGCTGTGGGACAGGTGTGAAATAAGGAAGGTTGTGTCAAAAAGTGTCTTTTCTGGAGAAGGCTCATCCCTTGCATAATTTCTGTAATCTTCCACATTCTTATTTGTTGCTCTTCCTCCAGTTATCCCCTGTGTCGTGTCTGAGTGGAGTGTCTGGAGTGGCTGTGCAGAGCCATGCAAGAAAACGTATCGTGTTCGGAGGAGGCACATCATCCAGGAGCCCCGGAATGGAGGAGAGGCATGTCCTCCTCTGGAGGAGAGGGCTGGCTGCATGGAGTACTGGTCTCAGCAAGGAGCAGAGTGCCAACAGTCCCTGAGTAAGTCCACTGAAAACTTAAGTGTCTGGGTAATACTGAGGAGGACTCTTCTTTGAACCGGTAGAGCTGATCTTTCTTTACTGTAATTGAGAAGAGTTGTTTTTAGACACCAGCATGTTTGCTCTGGGCCCATACAGTATAACTGAGGACAGAGGTCTTCACACAGGGCCTTAGAGATACCCTTCCCAGGACAACATTTAAAAGCAGGGCCTGCTGTTTGCTGTGATCTGCTGTGTTTCAAAAGTGAAATATTACAGGCCTGTTGTGATCTCACTTATACAAGCATAAATCTCTGGCAATTTTGATAAAGTTGGTAGATTTATGCGTGTTTAAAACTTCTGTAAGTGAGTGTTGCACACTTTTTTCTTTTTTTTTCTTTTTTTTTAATTTTATGAGTCATCTGCAAAAAGTAATGAAGAAGCAATACCCATCAAAGGCAAGGTGTGACTTCTCTGCACTGGAACAGAGTGCATGAAGAGGAGACATCCAACTAGAAAAGGCCTGATTCCCATTTCCTTAAACCAACTTTTCATTACATATCTTTACTGATTTTTGGAATAACTGTTTGTGGTTTTTTGCTGGTATTTTTGGGTCAAAATCTGCCCAGTGTGGAAATCAGCTACTACTGCCTTCTTCAAACCTGTTGAATATTGTTATTAAGCAAATATTGCCTTCCTCTCTGTCTTTTGGGTGTGCTTGATAAGTAGAATCACTCTACTCAGGCAAAGTCTGGCAACAATAGAGATTGTCTATTCAGTGAAATGGTTGATAGTCACAGATAATATGAAAATACAAAGTTAGACTTTTTATTTTTGTTTCCTGCTGAAGATAAAACCATATGACATTAAAAACCCATCTTCACTGTTTTGCAGACACAAACAGCCTTAGTGCCATATTGCCACTTATGTTATGTACTCTTTCTCTTTGATATATGCAGTCCCAGCATTAATAACCACAGGAGGGTTTGGAAAAGCAAGGAAAAAAAGAGCCGCAGCTGATGGCAATGAAAGAGCAGGGTAAGTTGGAGGCTCAGCACAGTGGCACAGTCATACTCCATACTCAGTGTGTCTCTGCTTGTGCTTTTGGGCCCAGCTGTTTGCTGATCAGAATCAGCATTTCCCAGCAGAAGGGCAGCACTTCACTAGAGCAGGGTGCTGCTCCCTCCTCAGCAACAGCAGTATCTGCAGTGCATCTGAAGGCTGTGAGTCTGCCCTGATATAAGGCCAGTACAACACTCTTCAGCTCTTTGTTGGTGGCTTTGCTGCTGTTTAAGATTGTGTGATCAGAAGCCAAAGACCATTCACTTCAGCTCTTCCCAATGTGGAATCTGATGCAGTTTGCACGTTTTTACATAAACAGGGTGAATTCTCGGGGGGCAGAGTTTGCTACCTTGTGGCATGGGAAGCTCACCCCTCTCCAATTTCAGCCCCAGTTGGCAGGAACACTGCTCTTTTTCCCCTGCTGCACTGTTGCACAGCACAGGTACAGGCACGGTTGTGAAGAAAGTCTCTGTTACATTTTACCTTTTGAGACGCAGCCATCTCTGCGTATACTGTTCTACCTTTGGGCTGGTGCCTCAAACACAGGGGAGCTGGCATCAGCCTTCCCAGTCCTCTTCTTTCCCAGCTGGAGTCATCACTTGCAGCGACACAGTGCTGATGGGAAAGGTTATTGTCCACCCTGTAACCTCTCATACACAGCTTTGCAAGATAGGATTCTCCAGGGGATCTTATTGCAGTCCCTGTTTCTTGTTGAGAGCTGCCATTCCTGTAAATGGTCTAGTAGTTTTGTAGAGCTGCTCTTGCAGCATGAAGCAGCCATGCACTTGTTGATTATTTCCCACATGCTGTTATGCATGTAAGTATTTCCATAGTGTGTGGGTGCATCCATCCCCATCACTTAAGTGTCCAAAGTAAAGAGCATCAATTCACCCTGAGCCTCCCTTGGAATCCTCATTAGTTGAGCATTACCCCAGTAAAATTTAAAAAAATTGAGCACAGCTCTATTACACACATTATTTATCATTGCTCTCTTTCCTTCAGATAAGACAAGGAAGCAAAGTGCATGCAGGGCTCAGTGTGCCACTTGAAGGTGTTTGGAAATCTCTATGATAACTGATACACAACCAGTCTAGACTAGAACCAATTCTTTGCTGTGTTTATGGACAATTAATGAATTTCCTTTGTTTTCCCCTCCAAACTAGGCCAGTTCTTTGGGCTTTCCTCTCAGGTTTGGTTCAAAGCAGAACCACAGAGGGCAGAAGTGCTGTGTCAGTCTGGTAGTCCTCCCATTGATATGTGAAAACCTCACTGTGCCTCTTAGGAGGGAGATCATCATAAGGAAAACCTTTACAGACTGAATCTTAGCTCCTGTAACAAGTTACTCTACATTATTAGTAACAGACTCGATGATGGAGAAAGTGTGGTTTAGCAAATGGAGACCAGACCTCGAGTCAGAAGATTTGGCTGTTTTGGTTTTGTTTTTCTGGTTTTAGTCAAATGCTTGACCAATCTGCATCTCTATTTTTAGAAAGAGATGCCAGTAATACCTGCTGTTATTTGATATGTCAGTTTAAAACACCAGCGGAGTAGCTTTATTTCCTATTTAACCTTGTCAAAATGCAGGTATACCACATTGTCTAGTTTTTATGACCTTAGGTGTGTGTGTAGGGTTTGTTTGTTTTAGTTTTTTTTAATTAGCAATCTGTGGTCACCCAGTTTAGTCTGGCTCTTGCAGTCCCATGGAGGGCTCTGATCTGGTTATTGAGCTAACCTACTCAGTTATTTTGGTTGCAGGTACTGTGTTGAATTCCAGCTTGTGGCCATCACGCCAGGCTGCTTGCACAGCCACCACTCATACACTCACTGGATGCAGTATCTCAGGGAGGGCCACACTGTCTGCGTGGACTGTCAGCACCCGGCTTTAGACTCCAGACGTCAACATTGTTATGGGGATGGCAGTGAAAGCAAAAAGTAAGACTTTTACCTTTTGTTTTCATGTTGAATTTTTCATTCTTCTCCCTTGATCTGCTCATTCTGGTTTTGTAATGTGTTGTACACAGCTCTCTGGAGCACTATACGTATATTAACTGATCTTTGTTGCCTACCATGAGTTTCTTGCAGAGATTAAGTGACCTGGTGCAGCTCACGCATTAAACCAGTGGCAGAGCCAGGACTGAAATGTGGGAGTACCTGCACTGAGTCTGCTAAATCTCACTGACTTTTAAGTGGCACAGTTGTGAGGTTTTTTTTGCTTTAAAGGCACAGCAGCCATGCTTCTAAGGTTAACAGTCCTGTCAGATGTCAAATAAAACTAAACCTGTTCCTGATTTTTAAGCACTGGGGATTTTGTTTCTACAGGTGACCCTTTATGAGTTTTTTGGCTGGTGGCAGCTGGCTTAGGGACTTGGGGTATGTGCTAGCATCTGCAGTTGGATGGAAGTACTGTTATATCTTTGCATATTCAGCATCCTTTCCCTGAAAGCTGAAGAAGTTTTGGGGCAATTGATGGGGACCACCCAGGTTGTACAAATTGGGTGGACTACAGCAAAGATTAAGAGAATCTCTTGAAGCTGCAAAACAACACATCTGTGGCAGAGCCAGCAACAGAGGAGTCCTGGCTCCCAAGCCTCTGCTGTGGTCACTGGAGGCACAGCTTCTGCATTGCTTTTATCCTGATACTCTTAAACCCATTGCTAGTTTATTAAAGACATCCTCTGAAACTGGTTAGCAGCCCTGCCAGAGAAAATCCTTACACATTAGTGCTGGGCAGGGGTATTTTTAAAACTTACATAAATGTTGAAATAAGCATGTTCATTTGAATTAGAAACTCTAAACTAGGATTATCAGGCCTCAAGCACACATTGTATTGTACTACCAAGCTTGCCAATAATGGCCTTTTTAGGCAGGGTTTATCTCAGGCTTTTGTTAAGAGGAAGTTAGAGTCTTTCCCTTCCCTGCCTCAGCTTGTTATGTACAAAGGTTCCAAAAGCTTTTAGATAAAGAAGAAAAAAATTTTAACTGGTGTGGCCAGCAGTAGCTCTTACCTGCATTCAACATGTAAATTATGATTTACATTTACAAAAGCTTACAATAATGTTATTTTACTAAAACTCTGGAGCCAGACAGGAACAGAAGCATCAGATTGAACAAAATAATAATTATGTTCAGGAATTCATTTCCTCATTGGGCTGCAAAAAGAGAGGGACATTTTAATTCACCTGATCTGGTGAACAGCACTCTATGTCGAACGGAAGCACAACTAAGTGGGACCATGTCCTTTAGGAATGATGATCTGATCATCAGGTGTCCATCAGCCTGCTCTCCAGCAGGCTGAAGGCTGGAGAGGGGTAGTGATAATGGAGCTGGCGTGAATAGTGACTGATTCAGTGAAGTCAGGGCGTGGCCCATGTCTCATCAGCTGGTTTGAATCCATCCCAGTTTAGCAGAGCCTAGAAGTTGTTCCCAAAGACTTGCTGGAGGTAAGATGAACTGGTGGGTCCATTTCCTTATAGGCATGCGAGAGCCAGTTGAGAATCTAACTTTTAACACAGTGAGCTTTTACCCCTCCAGCATTACTGCCTGTAATGTCAAATGAAGTCATGTCTGTGGCATTTTATAGGCAGGTATGAGCTCTCTGTGAGTGCCAAGCTGAGGTACTGTGAGCGTTCACTTGGGTTCATGCCAGGGTAGTAACATAGGCAGGACTGTCCTGAGCAGTGGACAAAGCTCCTATCTACAAAAGGCAATGGACATGCCCTTGAAGCTTCCTTGAACCAGCAGTACTTGGCAGCTGTCAGAAATGTGTGACTGGCAGATGGAACATGTATGATGTCTCTGGTCTGCAGCTTCCTCATCCTGTGTGTGTGTGTGTTTGTGTGGGCTCCTTTACGTTTCACATGGATCTTGTACTAAGTATCCCCTGTATAACCTCCAGGCCATGGTCTGTCTGGTGTTCTTTATCACTATATGACTTTATAGTAGTGGGTCAAGGAGGTTGTTGTCCAGGGCTGGGTACCTTGCTTGATTTACAAGGTAAAATTTCTACTTTGTACAAATTTGTACTTTATTTATATCAGCATCTCAAGTGCAAGTATTAACTATAGATATTCTTTATATGAACAGAGCTATCTCCTAATTTGTTTCCAGAAATAATATACCCTTTTTACCAGGTGCAATGGAGGAAAAAACTGACCTCCATGATCTCTGAGGAGAAACTGGACTGTTGATGGGGATAACCATTGAATGGGGTGAGGGAAATGTCTTCTGCCTTCCGTTAGAGTAAGTGGCCATGTCTGAGCACACAGTCTTGCAAGGGTACAGCGCTGTGAAGGGTTGTGTGGTGAGCTTTTCAGGCTGGGATTTGCTGGCCAGATGTGGAGGGCATAAATGTGATGCTTGTAAAGAAAGGTGGAAGAAGATGGGAAAGCAACTGCTGCCCTGAGAAAGAGGATGGTGGGATACTAAAGCTGATGCCAGAGCCCACGATGCAGCATGCGTTGAGTTTGCCTAGATCTGCTTACAAGTCTAGCTGTATACTCAGTTCACCCCCACTTTGAGTCTTTGCCTGTGTAACTCTGCCAGTCACCCTGCCAGTAGACATGGATGGTTTGCAGGTAAGCTCAGAGCAGCGGCTGTGCCATCTGACCTGTGCCATTGTGCGCCAGCCCAGGACTCTGGGGCTGAGGCTGTGCGGGGAAGCAGGCACAGCTGCTGCTGTCCCACCCACGCCGTGCCTATGCTTTGCTGCTTGCCCTGTCAGTTCAGCAGCTTGTGCCAGCATTTAGTTCCCCGAGATATTGTTCCAAGAGTGACTATCAGGAAGGAAAACATCTGACACAGTTTATTTTAAACTCAGTAATGCTGGTATATTTTGATGAGTATTTCCTAATTATCTTCTTGTGTCTGACTGGAGTCTAGCTTATAAATGCTTCAAGTTAAAAGAGAGAGGCTTGTAATCTGTGCCTTCCACCTGTCTCCCACTCTGTAGAAGATGCTGGTTTGTTTTAAGCCCTATTATGCAAGCTCAGGAGGTTTCCCCAAAGTCCTTGATTTATGGCCAGATCTGTGACCATCAGGTGAGGCTAGCTAGCATAATTCAGTAGCTTGGATTGCCGTCTTCCTTCTAGAAGGTTATGAGATAAACAAGGCAGAACATTAAGCCGGGAAATTGATCTGTTAATTTGGATCATCTTTGGAAAGATCTACAAATAAAGCATGGATTTGACATCTGTGAAATTGTTACTCAGCCTGTGTCTAGGAGGAACAGCTGCTCTTCATCATCTGGAGCAAGATGTGGTGGTTGTAGCACATAAATGTCCAGACTGCAGCAGAAGAGAGAGAAAAGACGGATGGACTTGATTTGTAGCAAAGTCAGTATTTACCTTCCCCACCAGCAGCATGAGAGTAGACAAGTTTAGCTTATGTGTTTAGGGAGTAAAGCCTTTTCAAGGTAAAGCTGCAGCCCAGAGTTTTAAAGAACGTAGAACTGCTCTCTGAACAGCCTGTTTTATCTGGGAGCTTGATCCTCCCTGTGCAGATTCCAGTATTTTTAAATGACCCCAAGCAAAAAAAAAAATACAGTGAGTCTTTTCCAACCATGTGTGTTGCATAAAGCCCTGCTCCGGAGCATGACATCTCATTAAATGAAGGACAGTGTTATCTTTGTAGAGCTAGAGAAGTAATTCCAGTTTCCACAGAACTATAAAACAGGCAGAAGCTAAGGGTCTGTTGGGCTATTCTGTGGGCAGCTCTCTGCATAGGGCAAGAGTTGTTCCACTTGTGGTGTCTGAGCTTCTCCAAAGATCAGGGCTGAGATGCACTGATATGAGGGATTTTCTTAAACCACCTAAATGCTAAAATTTGGAAAGGAACATGCTGTTCTCCCTCTAGTCTGCCCCGCTGAGACTGCATCTGAAATATTGTGTCCAGTTCTGGGCCCCTCAGTTCAAGGACAGGGAATTGCTTGAAAAAGTCCAGCACAGAGCCACAAAGAGGATTGAGGGAGTGGAGCATCTCCCTTATGAGGAGCGACTGAGGGAGCTGGGTCTCTTTAGCTTGGAGAAGAGGAGACTAAGGGGAGACCTCATTCATGTTTATAAATTTGTAAAGGGTGAGTGTCAGGAGGAAGGAGCCAGGCTCTGCTCTGTGATGTCCAATGATAGGACAAGGGGGATTGGGAGCAAGCTGGAGCATAGGAGGTTCCATGTGAACGTAGGGAAAATCTTTTTTACTGTAAGGGTGACAGAGCACTGGACCAGGCTGCCCAGAGAGGTTGTGGAGTCTCCTTCTCTGGAGACATTCAAAACCCGCCTGGACGCGTTTCTGTGTGATCTGGTCTGGGTGATCCTGCTTTGGCAGGGGGGATTGGACTGGATGATCTTTCGAGGTCCCTTCCAACTCCTAACATTCTGTGATTCTGCTATAACAAAATTTCAGTTTCTGTGGCTATTAGTCTGGCATTGCTTGAGCAGTGATTGTGAAAAATGGCCTGTGGATCTGCTGAGTTGTTTTAGTAGGGTATTTCTCAGTTCAGTTCTGGTCAATATATTGATGGATTGCCTGAGGCAAAAGATAGGGGTTTTTTTGGTCTTCTGCTTGGGAGTCCTGTGAACAACCTTACTGCAACATATGCTGATCTGGTACCTCCAGGCAGCTGCCATCCAGAAGTCATTTAGCAAGGTGGAAAAGCTTAGGCAAGTGTTCTGCCAGTGTGGTTATCCAGAGATGCTCGTGTCCCCGTACCTGCATACTCAGTACTTACTTAGCATCGCAGTGGTTATGGGAGGCAATAGAGCTCTGCCTGCTTAGCGGGAGCATGGTGTTATAAAGAGAAATGGAGAAAGGTGTTTTGTCACTTTGCAACCTGTCAAGTGTTTCAATATAGGAGTTATGAGGATCTTGGTGTGCTTTGTGAGTTGATGCATGCAGTGATGGGCACCTTGAGGAAATGTTTCTATGAATCCTTTTGGACTTAACATCTGCAGTATATGCTGCTCTGCATCCTTCCAGTCCAGTGTTCCTATGAGGACTGATTGTGGCTTTACTTCACACTAGAATAATCCTATGGGGTTCACTGTGGTTGCTGCTTCTTTACAGGGGTATGAAGGCAGAATTGGATCCATGGAGTGAATATCAATATTAGCAAACTAAATGGGATTTATTTTACTTCTCCTTGTTGAAGTGACTGCCCTGCAGCGGAGGTGCAGCACATTAACTTTCTCCTTTTTACAACTGTGTTTCAGGAATCAGCTGTTGCACTGGCAGGTGGTGGGGAACCCTCGATGCAAGGGAACCTGGAAGAGAATCCGCCAGCTGGACGCTTGCTCTTGTCCTTCTGTTCACAGCTTCTTGTTCATCTAACTTCTCCTAACAGCCTTAGCAAGCAAGCGCTGTCTGGCACAAGCATGCAGCAGCAGTAGTAACCATAACCAAAACAATGAATTCTCTGTGTCAGAGGCTGTGCTACTTAATTTCAAGAGGTTGCTGTCTGCACTAGGGCATCCCGAATCCTCTCTGTCCGTATGTACTCCTCAATTTCCAAAGAAATCAGGCTGGCTCTGACGTGCCAATCTCTGCACATCCATTCCTACTGCCTCTTCTGCCTGAGAGAGGCCTGTTTGACCTTGATGACTTCTTGCAAATTCCCCCTTTTTTGAGAGGAATAAGAATTCAACAAATAAAGGATTGGACAAAAAAGGCCATATGAACCCAGGTTTAATTATTGTTTTTCCAAAGTCTCAATGGAGAATCAACAGTGCCAAATAAATTAACTCGAGTGCCTTCATTTCATGGCAATGGCACTTCTTTGTGGATGTTTCCTGCTTGTGCTCATATATCTTTTCCTTTTGTTTTCACCCTCCCATGTCTCATCATTTCATATTGATCCTCAGTCTTAGAGGGTTGGTCTTGTGCTGCTAAGATAATGACAGAATTAGAAGTGAGCCTGTTCAAATCTATAAGAATAGAAGGTACCAGTGAGAAATGGGCCCTTGGACTTCAGGTTTCAAGGAGCATCTCTGAGTTGCCCAAAAATGCAGTGCATTCCTGGGGCTCTAAATAGGAAGTCATCTCAGCTGTACCAGGAGGGCTAGCTATAGCCTTGTATTTTTGACTGGAAAATATTTGAAATATTTTTTTACATTCTGCTGATTTATATTCATACTTTTCTATAAATGAAATTAAAGGAAACTGGAGATGTTCTCCCAGTGTGTGTCTATTGATCAATCTGTGTAGTCTCATCTCTTTAGTGACTGAACATGCCTAATTTGTTCCAGCCAATTTTGCTGCCGACTCCTCTGCTTCAGAAAGTAAAACTGGAGGAAGAGTCACTGCTGTCCAGTTCTGCTCATGATTTACAGGTGGAAGTCCAGCACCATGACCTACCACTATGCAGAAGTGGATGTGATATTTCTTTTCATATATGCATAGTTCTGAATCTGCTTAAATAAAATCACAGAAAGGACTTGTGCTTTGTGGCAGAGCAGTGCAGTGATGAGCATCTAGGTAATTAAATTTGTCAAAACCAAGGTGAGTGACTGGAGGTGGCTCCAGAACAGAGTTTTGATGCTCAAGTGTGACTCTAGTCTAGATTTGGATTATGAAACACATCCAGTGACAATGCTGAGGTCTTTCATGAAAATAATGAAGGGCACTGAGCATTTGTGGTTGAGATGCTTAGAGAAATACGTGGAGTACGGCGCGCTGAGAGCCCTGAAAGTGCGTGATGTCTTTTGGCCAGTACAGTAGGGATTTGAGAGCGAGGCCCTGCTTTTTTTTGTATGTAACAAGCTGTCTCTGTGGATTCATGACTCACAGTGGGTGATCTCACCTCAGAGTACAAAAATTTAAAAAAAAAAAAGATAAAAAAAAAGGCTTGTGCTTCACTGTCTGACATAATTTATAACTAACTTGTGCCCTGCTCAGGAGGACTTGCTGGTTTGTAAGCAGAGGGATGTGATTCTTTGGGAGATGGCTTGGGAATGAATAACTAGAGTATATAATTTCGGTTTTTGCAGTGAGGAACTTCTATCAAGCTGGAAGCCAATTTCCTTTTCTTGGTGGAGATATGCAATCATAGTAGCATTTAGTCATTGGAAGGTTTTCTTTCTCCTGCAGAAGCCCTGTATTGGGTCACAGGACTGTAAAGAGGTGGCTGGTAATTTCAGGAGCAGAATGGAGCTAGCTATTGGAAATATTTTTCATTTTCAATATCTACCCAAATTTTTAGCAATATGAATCCCTGCTCTTATCAGATGCTTTCAGAATTGACTACTGAAGCTATAAAGGATGCCATTTTTGCTTAATAACACTTAGAAAACTTAGTCTTCCGAAGGTTACATTCACCCCAGTGCCTCTTTCCTATAATGTCAGAGCCAACTGGATAGGAAAAGACTGTATTGCAAATTTAAAAATGATAGTGTCAAGTGAGAAAAGCTTTTGTTCAAATAAATGAAACAATGTCGCACTTTAAAGCACATTAATTGCAATCCCTTTAATCTATTGAGTACTTAAGCATGAGCTGTACTATATGTGTGTGTAAGACTTTTATTAAATTGTTAAAGACTTGTTGTCAAATATTTAGTCCTGACACGACTGTTTTGTTGTGAACCTTTCAGGAAATGATGACTGGCACCTGCCATGAGTAAATGGTGTGAAACATCCTCCCTGACCTTAGCCCTTGTTGAAAGTAGAAGACCACCCTTCTGCTTCAGTGTCTTGAGAATAAGTGAGCCTTAAGAGTGGTTCTTTTCATAATACTTCGTCCTATTCTGGCAGAAACTGTAGGAAACTCTGGCCAGTTTTACTAACAATTTGATGTGTAGGAAGTTTGCACAGTCTCTTAAGTGAGTGAAGGTAGCTGTAGAGAGTTGAGAAGTGTGAGGATAGGCTGCTTGGAAATACTTATTCCACAAATATTTATTTATCAGTAGTTTTCTCTTTTGGGTCCTGCTTGTGAGACAGCTGTGATACTACATTAGTATGCACAAAATAGTCTGTTTCTACAACCAACGTCTTGGGCAGGGCTTTCTTTGCTGCTGCCTCATCCTTGAGAGCTGGTAACATGAGGTCCTAGCAAGAGCTGCTGAGATGGCATGGTAGGACTTTTGCTTCTGTCACCATAACTTGGGGTTGCAGGAGTGTGAAAGAATTAGCCCCTGAGGGACCCTCATACCAGTTGCATTTCTATACAGGCTGTGTCATTTGATGAAACAAGACATTGCAAATGTCTTGGTGCTTCAACATATCCTAAGAAGGGCTGTGCAGTGTGCTGGCTTCACCTGCACACCTTGGGTAATTTTACAAACAAATCCTGTTGGTATGACATTTCTGGACAGAGGAAGGAGAAATGCAAGTGTGTGTGAGAGAGAGAAAGAGAGCAAGAGTGAGCCTTTTAAGAAGAGGAAGATAATGAAGCTGTCAGATCACTTCTCCTGCAAATGAAGAATAACTCATGATGTGGACACATACTGGGTCCTGCCTGTTTCCCTCTAGGGGCTTTATCACCATCTGTCTTCATTATCTCCATAATTTCTACAGCCTGGGTTTTGGGAAAGATAAGACTATTGGAAATCCAAGGGAAAATACTCCTGGAAAATGGCTTTGTACAGTAAACAAGCAAGGCAGCCTCACATTGAGGAGTGTTCACCAAAGATGACAGCCGTTCCCATGACAACACTAAAAACCTTTCACCATCGGGTTTCAACAGGAGAACATCTCCCACAGCAAGTACATGAATCCAGGAGCTTAGTCGTCATCTCCCATAAGTCATCCTGCTGGGCTCTGATCATGAGGAACTGCCTGCTGTGCACGTGCAGCTCCACCTTAGGCACCAGCCTGGCTCCAGATGAAAGGAACAGCAAATCAAGCTGAAGCACCAGCAAGCGGGATTTATGTAAAAGGAAAATTAAGCTCGACTGATGTTCCTATGCTTCCCTCTGCTCTCCAGCTGATGAAAATTAATTTTAAATTTTAAATTTTAATGATGAAAAACTAAGCAAAAATCCAGGCTGAAGAAGCCATGTGATTTTTCTCTGTTGTAGAGAAATCTTTCCTTGTCATGGGCTAGAGAGAGCGGGAGGTCCTGGGAGAATTCTTTTCTTCACCCTAACTCTGCAGTGTCCAGCCTGTGATTCAGCAGTTTTCTTCCACATTTGAAACAGAAGGTGATAAAAGACCAATTTTTCACCATGGCCCATCAGCTCCCTGAGTGTCACTGTGTGGGGGTCTGAGCTTCTGCAGTCATCTCAATGTATGAGGATCTGCTTCATTTTTTAAGGAAAAAGCATTTAAAAAAAAAAGACTTAAAATGTGCCCAGAAAGCTCAGGAGCCAAAGGTAAAGAAATAGAATAACAGAAAACTGTAATTTCTTTAAATACCCTTGTTGCTCTAGGGACAAACTTCTTTTTTCATTTGCTCAGTGGCCAGAGGAGTTGAGCACATTCTGCTTGAATGGTAGGAATTAGCAATACTTCTTCACAAATAAGACTGTTTTGTTATCTTTAGTTTTTAAATCCTATTTTTGTATCCTTCATTTGGGATATTTTGAGTATTTAAATATTAAGATCACTGACTTGTTTTTTCTTCCTTTTTTTTTTGCCGAAGTTTTTTCTGAAGTCCTTTCCAGTTATAAAATTAGTTACTTGGTGATAGTCATGATACTGCAAGTGGAGGAGTAGAGATGAGAAGGGAGAGGAGAGTCTGAACCAGCAGAGTTGGTTCTGTTCTCTGTCTCCTGCAGCTTAAAACCACAAAACAAAATATTGATACTTTTTTTTTCTTTTTTGAACACTGTGGTTCTCCTGTTCTCAAGCTGTGTGAAATATACTCACTTAAAGGCTGCTCTGTGTATTCTGTGAATCAGCACCTTTTTAAATCTGCAGGGATATGTAGGGGCTCCAGGCTGCTGCTCTGTGGTACCCACAGTTGCTCTCGTCCTATGACACACAAACACAACTTGTTGTGACACCAGTAGCACCTAGACACACAGTCAGTACACGATGTGTTTGGTTGTATCTTGTAAACATCTTAAATTGATATTGGAAAGGAAGAAAGGTGGAACCATAGTGCAGTTTATGTCACAATATTACCTTTTTTTCATGAGTCCAGCCACAGTGTGTGACCCCACGCTCGCTCAAAGCTGTGAGTTCCACACCCTGATCCATGCGGGAAACAAAGTGCGAGTTTTCTTTTTATCACTATTCCCTAATCCTCAGGGCTGAAGAGCTGATCCCTGTGCAGCGCTCAGCATCACTCTGGTTCAATGCATTTTTTTTTGCCGTTACTTGCTGTGCTCAGTGCTTGTTTTACTTCAGGTCTTTCGTGGCCTTTCCATACTAATTGTGTGCTTTTGAATTACTGGAAGGGTGGGGTACCATGATGCCAGTGCTAATGGGCTTTCACCTTCCTCCACTTTCATAACAACCCTCAAACCAGTTAACCAATTCT